ATTTTCTGCTGCCATGTTTCTCACAGCCTTTCTCGTATTGTCTGTAGAGCATTTAGAAATGGCTTTGAATTCCTTCTCTGCTCAGTTCTCTGCTGAGGTCTAGCAGTGTTTAGAAACAGCCGTAGTTTAAGAAGATTAATTATTGTCTATAATAAATTTAGGGTGAATTGCAGGGAAATACGCAGGGCCTAAGTAATTTTTCTCTTTGTATAGAGGATTACTTATTTGGGGTGTTCTTTTGTTGTTAGGGTGTTTTTTGTTTTTTTTTTTTTTTCTTTAAGTCTTACCTTTCAGTTCTCATTTTTGCTGAGTGCTCGTGTGTGAATTCAAGCTTTGAAACTGAAAGGAAACCAATTTTAAATGAGTCTCTTTTCAATTAACCCTCACAGAATACCATGGGACCATCTCTGCCCATAACTAACTTTGTGCTGAGGAGTGATCCCAGAGGATGACTTGTTTACTTGCTGAATCTGGCTCCCTTCCAAAATCTTCAGTTTAATCTTTTGACACTGTAGCTCCCTGTCTTTTTTCATCTGGCCACATATCCTTAATCACCTTTTCATTCCTTCTCATCTGCCAGACCTGACTTGCTCTTATTTCTCCTCTTCTTGTTTGTTGTGTGAGCACCTCGCTCAAGGCAGTTTCATTTTTTCAGCTGGCACTGCTTTAGCAAGAATTTAGAAAGAACTGAAATTCATAAAGCTAGCAGGTGTTCTGCTTTTGTAAGACAAACAAAATTTTAGCTGTAAAAATAATTCCACAGGTAACCCTTAGAAAATACGTAAGTCTTTTATGTTTGTTTTCTGCTATTTTTAATATCCCAGATCTGTCACATGCGCAGTTAATTTGAAACACATAGTAAGTAATCAGAGACAGAAACAAAGTACAGTCCTTGTGTAGACTGCAATAGGGAAAGCTAAGGACTGTATTTGTAAAGTTAGAATTCTTTTTTGGGGAGGAGTAAGATGTGATGTGGATGTTATTTAGAAGCCTTGGTGAGGCATTAGTTGTTGAATTGCACAAGAGAATAGAAGGGCTTCATGAAAATTTCAGTGCATGCGAAGGAATGCAATTTCAAAGTAGTTGAATGAATTTAGTTTGAAATGTGGAGTTGAAAGCAATAATGCTTTCCAAAAGATTTTGTGTAAAATATACCAAACTGATGTATTGAAGTTAAGCAAGTGAAGTAGAATCGAAAAACATCAGTACTGTCCCCAGTTAAATAACTTGTAATAAATTTAGTAGTATAATATTCTTTTATTATATTTGTCACATTTACTTAAATATGAACTTCAAATTAAGAGCAATCCTTTCAGTGAGGTGATCAGTGGTAGGTGTTTGTCAAAAGCAATCCTGCAAAAACAGCCTGAAGAGGATGGAGCACTGTCTTATGTATCAGATGATAATTCCCCCCAGCACTGTCCTGAATAGAAGAGTATCATAGATTTTCTCATTTCTAGTTTCTATCTCACAGTGCTGTCTAAGCATCGCTAGTTACTGTTAATAATTTCTTATACTTCTTTCTTACATGAAAGGGTCCAATATTAGTCATCCATTATTTCAGTTATTGCTGCTACATTTTAAGAACCTTGCAGATATGTCACTAATATAAAAAGTTAAAAGAACACGTTTACCAAGCTTCACCTATCCCTTAATATAGCTTTGTCTTAGATATCTTGGGATTGTAATGATTTTCCTTTTATGTTTCTTTTAAGATGATCTTCACATGCAGTTGTAACTTTTTGTGCAACTGTTATTTTATTTTTTTTTTTTAAAGCCTTTGCAATTGATGAAGCTCCCCAGCCATCACTTTCTGGTTAAATTCAAAGAGTATTCCCAGTGAAGATGTCCAAAATTCAGGTGTTCAAAAGGCCTGTATATTGAACACCACCTTCTTCCCACAATAAACAAAAAAGATGTCTTTGTGTATGCTCCATCTGTATTAATAGACTCTTTTTACTGTGATTTTAAACTCTTACAAATGACATTGTTTTATTTAATGTTACTGACCCATGCCTTGTTTGATTCCTAGTTTATTGGTTTTGGTCAGCATCTACAAGTAGCATTTTACTTGGCTGTTCCGTGTTTCTCAGCATTTTGGGACAGAAGCAACCACTGGATGAAATCTGAATACTGGAAATTATAGTTCTAGAATTTGGTCATTATACAGTAGTGATGGTATAGATCCCTGTTATTAGGCTGCTGCACACCATTTTTGTTGATACATATATAATGTAGGCCTGATATTTTCTCAAAGATTGATTGCTTATTATTATTATTATTATTTTTTAGCTAGTAAATTGCTAACCACTTTCACAGTCATCAGGAGAATCCCTCATTCTATTAAATATCAAAGTTTGTGATACTAAAAAAAAATCCACCACATTTCTTAATGATTTCTGCGAACTCTAGAGTAATGCAGTCCCAATTCTGACTGGACTGGAGTCCTGGTAGTGTAGTTAAATGTCACTATACATAAACAAAAAAAAATATATATATATATAAAGAACAATTACTGTGGGAGGAAAATGTTATCCTTATTTGAATCAAATTGTTAGCGCTAGTGTTGACGTCACTGGATGAATTATTGAGGATGTTTTAAGGTAGAATTAAATGCTGTCATTGTTGATCAGTGGAGTGTAGGCTGTAGAAATGCAGTTATCATGAACTTAACGTAGATCAGAAGGTGTCCACGCAATCCTTGAAGAATGATAAATGACAGAAGACTGGCATCTTCGAATCCACTACCTACCAGGTTTATTATTTGGTTCTTTCATTTTATCTGCCTGATAATGGAACATTTCTTGTTTTGCAAGATTCCTTTGCATGAAGTGACAGCAAAGTTTTCAGAAGCATGCATCTCACATGAGTTGTCGTCTGAAGCAATTTCTGCATGCTTTGGTATAACATTTGAGTGAACACAGAATATTTCTGCAGTACGTGTTATGGGTGTAGGATCCTAGATACACAAAGCAAAAAACCGTCTTCCCTTCTGAGAGAGCAGATCTTTCTTTTCTGGAAAGGCAGTGCTGAATAAAGTCTGATCTTGATAATCAGATAAATTAACATGCTCCGAAGTATTTGGAGCCAGATTAAACTGCACCAAACCATGTAGATTCAGGATAAAACAGTCTGCTAAATTTAGTTTATTTCACTTTCAAAATAAGCAAAGGGAATTAGAAGTGCTTTAGTTCTGCAAATGTCTACACATGGGCTCAGTGTACTTTTACCAATCTGAATTCAGTACTTTTCTGTACAGAGTGTATAATTCTGTACTTCTACACTGAATTCATAGCTTGCATACAGAATGTTTACCTTAAAAGCATCATGATTGCAGGCTGGGGTAATTTTCATATCTGGTGATGAACACTGAACCACTTACCATAGGTATTCACAGAACCTTTAGCTTTCTCACCAAAACACGGACAGATGATTCGTTTTTCTTCTGCAATCTCTTTAACAACCAAAACATATATCTAAAAACATTCTACAGAAGACACTGCTTACCAAAGTTTCTGTGCTACATTCCACAGCATAACTTTCTTTAACTGTTGCATTTCTTATAGATGAAATTTATTAAAATTTATGTTTTTAGAAGCAAAGCAGCACAGGTAAAGAGAGGGACCATTCTGTATCAGAGAAACTGATGTATTTGGGAAAATAAATACAAGTGAGAAGTGGGGAAGCTAACTGTAAGTTGCCAGAACTCATGCTGAATGCTAAGAGATTTGTGCTGCTTGAGAGTGCCATGTGCTTTGTGTACCTCAGTGACATGGGCTCTTTCGGAAAGAAGTCAAAATGGCTTTGGTACTTGCTTGAGCAGAGCCAAATTGCGACTGTTCTGTATTCTTCCCATTGCTAATTTATGTTAATATTCTACATCCATTTAAGAGGAAAAGATGTGCCCAAAAAGATGTGTCCTTGAATGTAACTGGCTGTGAGTGTTCTGTAATTTAGAATAGTACAAGCTACTGTTGATATCTCTCAGGATGTTCTCTAACCAGCCAGTCAGTATTTTTTAACTCTGGACCGCTTGGGATGTTATCATGAATCTGGCTGGGTGACTGCAGTATGCTGGGTAATCCTAAGTGATTAAGAACTGCTGCAAGTCCTTTGAGATGGGTGGCAAAAGTGTTCTGTATGGACTAACAGAGTGTCTGGAAAGGGATAGTAATGATGCAGCTGAGCAGTAGGAAGTGTGAAGAGTAGCTTTTCTAAAATATAGGCTTAGTTAGAGCTCTGCAGATGCAGCTGTCAATACTTTAATATTTCCTCATTAAAACTCTGTGATTTGGTGAAGGATTTGCTATGGCTCTTGGGCGTTTCGTGGTATAAGAAATATCTATAAGAATTTGGTCATAAACTGCCTGTATGGTTGGAGTAGCATGCCCAAACCCAGTCTATCCTGTACAAAAATATGTATGCCTTCAGATCCATCTTTTTGTTCATAAAGACAAAGACAATAGTCTTTGTGTCAAGGAAATGTCTGTCTGCTGTCATAGTTAGATGGACGCATGCATTGCTGTTTTCATATAACTTTTCCTAGAGAAAGATGGGTTGAAATTTAAAGAGTGTAGCATGATCCTCCTGAAATACAGGCAAAGCAGATAAGGCAAAGATCTCAGTTTATCCCAGTGTATGCTACCAGCAAGAGTTTACTTTACTGAAACAACAAAACTGATTGATCTCTGCAACCTCATTGGTGACAGTAACCAGACTAAAGGCCATGTCTGCTTTGTCTTTACAATGTGAAGCATATAAGTAGAAGCTATTCACATAAATAAAGATTGCAGGATAAGAATACAGAAACAAATCCTTTCTCTAAGGGGGAACCTTCCCTTATTTAACTTAAAGGAAATTTGGCCAGGCTTTGGTGTGGTGCCATTAATGTGGCTCCAAGTGCTCTGTGAGTTCTTGGATACAATGTAAACTGCATCGTTGCCATGTTTCATTCATGTGGAATGGTTAACAGTATCCTCATTTCACCTTGTTTATTTCAGATTGCCAGGCTACCTCTGATGTTAACTTATCAGATGCCAGAGGAGCATCAGAAAAAGCAGATCTTGGTTTTGAAACAGAAGTACTTACTGAGACATTAGAAACTAACCAGAACTCAGTATTGGTGATTCCAGCAAGAATATCGTGTGAGGTAAGGTATTTGAATGCTGAAGTCTTTGGGATGAAGGTCAATGTTGTTCTTTTTCTCGTTCGTACTGTGTCAGTTTTGAAAACAAATCTCAGATAAATGTCCAAAATGAGAGTGCTTTGAGAATGCAGTCAGATTTTTTTGTTTTGTCTCACATCCATACTGGACCACCAGGTTTGCAAACTGAAATAGTTTTTAGCCTCAGAGAGATTTTATTTCTATAAGACTTGTTTGGTAGTTTGGGTAGAGATGTTATTGCCACAAGGACCTTGTAGTTGAAGAGGGGAGCATGTGACTGATGACTTTTGGAGGGATACCGAGTGCCTCTTTAGAGGAATACATAGTGAATACATACATAGGTACTGATACCACGTGAGTTACGCAATGAGTGGTTCTGTGAGCAAATACTTTGCCTAATTCTAAACTGAAATCAGAAATATTTTTATATACATATCTAATAGGCAGAAATGTTCCTGTATGTTCTTTTCTTTTATCAAGGTTGCTGTGGGAGTATATGTGGGAATGTAAAAAAAGAATGTACTTTATCCAGCACTGCATTCATTTATGTAAGTGAATGGCCATGGTCAGATGGAGATTGCAGTGTACTTGAAATGTCACATATTTTGATTATTGGCTGTCAGAAGGCAGTTCTGTATGTCAGCTCTCTGGGACAGATTATAGCTGAATATCAGTAACGATGTACCATTTATACCATATCCTATACATATGTTAACAGTATGTTAGCGTAAGTCACTATAGTTTAAAACAGTGTTGCTGCTACTTGGAAACATTGAAGTGTGAACCAGTGGGGGCAGAACAACTAACAGGCTGAAGAAAACTGCTTCATCTCATGACTTGTTTGCTCTGTTGTTTTTTTTTTTTTTCTCTGCTTCAGTCTTGTTAGGACTATGTAATTTGCAGCATTAAAACTGATTTTATGCATCTTCTTTCTATGCATCAAATGTGATTTACAGACGTTATTTCATTGATGACATCAGTTAAGTTATAGGAGAGTAGCATTCCCTCTGCTTCAGGAGGCAGTAGAAAACTACTGGCTCAGGTTGCTTCCATCTTACTTCCCTGTCAGCTTGCTTGAAGAATTTAAGTGAGTTGTAAGTATTTTAGGTTGTTTGTTGTCATTTATTGTATATAAAATATTATAGGATAACACTAAGATGGCAGAATATTTTGGTATTATGATATTTTTGCATGAAGGTACCGGTTAAAAAAAAGCAAAACTTCCAACTTTAAGTTTCATTTTGCATTTTACAATTTCAGTATAATTTTGTGAAGGACTAATGGGAACACATTTTAATTTTCTAGAACCCTGGTGAAATATTCATTTTGTTGAAAGATGAAATAGATGATGAAACCTTAGAAATTGAATTCATAGCAGATAATCAACGAATTAGGACACAGCCAGCCTCTTGGAATAAGAAGGTCAAGTACATGAAAGCATTAGGTAAGAAAAAAATATCTTTACTTTTAAGTACTCAAATTTTTTACTTCCTTCACTTTTTATAAGTAGTTTCACTTCCCACTGCTTTGTAGGTGTTTCCTGTACATGCGTTTTGCATACAGAACGTTTATCAATAATGCAGGGAGGCAAAGTCTTGTGATTTATGGGAAACTCAGTTCTATTAGATTGTTTTTGTGTAGTTAAATGACAGGTGGCAGTCCTAAAATGTCGTTGATTAGTCAGAGATTAAAATTCTCCAAAAACACTGCCATAAAATGGAAAGCTAATATTCTTTTCTTATTACTATATTACTGAAATGTTTCATTTTATATCTAATGCAGTAATTTTGGTTATAGTCACTCTATAATTCTTACTGGCATAGGAGTTATTTGTTCTTTGTTCCTTTTTCATATTCATGTCATTTCTCTGTATCAGTTGGATCTGCTGATTTCTAACAATTCTTTTCGACTGTTCCATCTGTAATTTTAGTTGCTATTCTTCCCTGTTTTGCCAGGGAAATGATAAGCAAAGGGAAAAAAAAGAGCAACTTTTATCTCAGGAGATAGGCAGTGCCAATGCAAGGCTCACACCTATACACTCATCCATTTGATGAGAGTTACGAATTAAAACATTTATGACCTGAGTAATCATAGTGTAGCTTGCCAGCCTATTGCATGCTGTGAATTCCTGGACAAATTTGCGTAATATTTTATATTATAACCATTGCAATACAGTGTTAGACAGGAAGAAAAAAATTATAAAGGCTTCAGGCTTCTTGGCACTGCTTTTGAGTAACTCTGTGGCCTGATTTTTTACTTAGACACCGTGCATGTGCCCTGAGAATTCTTTAGTACTGTGACAGTGAAAAGTCTGTTTTCGGAGATCTGTATGGGAATTACATCACCAACAGTAAATTTTCATTAGTAACTGGATTTCACAGAAGAAAAGCTCAAATCCTCATTCATAAGTCTTAGAGAATTCTTCTGTAAGAACATTATTGATCATGGTAAGGCTTCAATAGTGGCTGAAGTAATAAGATACAGACAGTGAATGAAACACTATGAAAAGCATGGCAGAGAGCTGCAGCCCACACTTTATTTCACTTCTCATATGTTTTTAACACTTTTCTATGTAGTCTTTGCTGTAAGATCTCGAAATATTTTGGAATAACTTCTTATACTGAGGGTCTAACTAATCTAATGTTAAAAGAAAAACGTTTAAAAAAAAAGTTTAGGCACTTTTCGTTTAAGTGATTTAAGTTAACATTCTATTCATTCAGTTTCTTTGGCTTTATTACTCTTCTCTGTTTGAGGGTTGTCTTTTTTAGTGGGCAGAGTTAGAATTCTAAGAGAACTGTGCTAGTGCTGGTATGGTACAGCAGGATGCCTTGCACAATGAATTCTAATGAATTATAAAATGTATTAATAAAGAGGCCTCATGCTGCATAGACAGAGCAAGTCATACTTAAGTAACACACTGTACAAATGTCTTCCTATTGCTTCTTTCTTCGGCTTCTTTCTTTTGCTTTTGCCAGGTAAACAACTGGAATGGAAGTAATCAGTAATACTGCAACTTTTTGCAGTTTACTACCAGTTCAATTTTGAGAACCTCGCCTGCAATTAGAAAAATGTTTCAAAAGATGAATTGCAATTTGCAATTAATGAGCTTTTCATTATTTTGTAGACATAAGGAAGGTGATTATAGGTCATCAGTTCAACAAAGGGAAGATGGAAATTGGAAGTGTACCATTTTCATCTACTTTCTAACATGAAGCAATACAATAAGTCTATCTCATACAGATCTGCAGATATGTTTTTCTTTTGCCAGCTTTTTAATGTTAGATTGAAAGACAACAAAAATAAAACTGCTCACACTAAATCATCTGTGAAATGCAAATCTATACGTTTTCTGTGATATTTTCTTCTGCTCTTTTATTCATTCTCTTAGATTTCTGGTCTGGGATTGTAAAATATTTTCAGCTACTGTTCTGATTTGTGTTTTATAAGATCTTCCTGCTGGCCCTGTATATATAAATGTCTACTGTGAGGGTGTCATTAAGACCACTGCACAGATTGAATATTATACTGCAGCAGAAGAGATTGAGCGCATCTTTCAGAAAGTAGCTGACCCGATAGCTTTTATTTGTCAGGTAAGTTGACTTTTGCATTAACTTAATGAAAAAAATAGAATGTAAGTGCCACTATGAGCTAAGAAAACATACACCATGATGTAAAGACTTTTAATTGCATAGTAATTAATAATGATTCAGTAATACCCTCAGGGTTAGAGGGGCCTGTCTTTGAGATATCTAGCTCTAAACAAAGCAGGCAAGTGAAAACAAACTTTCCTGTTTTGTTTTTCTTTAGAATGATACAAACATCTTTGGTACTGTATGTTCCCAATGAACAACATCCTGCATTACAGAGGATGAGAAGAGTAATGTAGCAATTTCTCTCTCCCTTCAGTGTTCTTTTGAGAATGTTCTTAAACCAATAGAAACAAGTAATCTTAAGACATATTGCATTTGGACTATTATTATTCATTCACTAGTAAATGGGATTTTTCTGGCATAGCTTGCACGGATAGCATCGAGTTGCTATTCATGTAGAATTTCACGTACAGCTGCTGAATTATCATTCAGTGTGGTTTGCTGGTTGTTGTGCAGATTCTTCACATATGTTTAGGAGAATTCAGGTTTTGAGCTGGATTTTAGATCAGCACAGCAGACTGCAGTGCTCTGCAGCATCCTTTGCCAATAGCACATAAAAAATAATAAGAAAACACTTATTTAAAAAGGACAGAACCAGACGTATCATTTGTTGCATAGTGTGTAGCCAGAGCAGACTTGTGATGTCTGTATTTAACTGCAAAGCCAAAACAAAAATAATAGTTCCTGTTTCCAATGCAGACAGTCTCATTTTCCTGTGACAAATCTACCTTATATGCCACCTAAAGCATTATACACATTAAAAAAATATATATATATTAATAAAAAATGATGTATTGCATAATCTGTATTTTTTTCAGGATGAGTGTTGATTGTTTCTAAATACAATTCTCTTGGCTCTAAGCAAACAGGCTGTTGCACAGGAGGATAGTGTAACTCTAAATACAAGGACATTCTTATGATCTTTATAATATCGATCCTTGATGGGACATTGAAGTAAGCTTCTAACAGGTTTATTTAAAATTTTACGTATATGAAGCGTGTCCTAATGATTAAAAAATATAACTAGCGTGGAAACCTAGCAGGTGTGCTGTAGGTATCTATGTCTAGTGGAGATTAATTTGTCTTGTTCAGGAATCTGGCCCTTCATTTAACTGCATGCCTAATATTTAGTAAGACATGCAATTCAAATTCTATACAAATGCAAACATAATTATGTGCAGAGCTATAGCATCTGAAAATACAACTGTAGTGTTATCACTATCAGGTATGTTTAAAAATCTGCATGCCTTTACTCATCTGAATAATAAGAAAGGATTTAAATGAGGAAGCATTGTATACCTCAGTCTTAATTTAATTGTATTGGCAACTGGAAAACCAGGTAAAATTTTCATACACAAGTGGGTTTTTTACAACCCAGACAGTATGATGGCTGCTTTGCAGGAAAGTACTCTAATGGTAATTCTTCTGTGAGTTTGCTGGAAGATTTGTCATTGTATTTAATGGTACCCACTGGGCCATGCCGTGAGGTATATTAACTGGCTGGGTAGCTGAACTATTTCCACAGACTTTTTAAATACTTTAAGCCTTCATGTAAACCTGATTTAATGGCACTAAGATACATTGTAAAGATGCAATTTACAGAACATGATTTAACTTAATCTTAAAAATTGTATTCACACAAGGAAAAACAAAACCTTGGTACTAATTAGAATTCCCATCAAGTAGCAGGAGTAGTAGTAACTTTTATTTAACTAGAATAATTAAAACCTTTGAGACTATCAGCTTATTTGCAAAAGTATCCTGGGGAATCAGTGGTTTATCTATGCAAAGTAACAATCAAACACAATAGAAAACAAAATTAAAATAAATAGAAAAGCTTACAGCAATTGTTGATCAAAGCATTATCATTCTGTGGTTCAAATAAAAGTTCAAGACTTTCACAAATGCTTGTAATCCTTATTAAAATTCTGCGATACAAGGAAATTGCTACAGTAACGCATACCAAAGATACAATGGTTTGGTAAAATGCTTTCATTGTATTGCTGACATCTGCAGCAATTTTGAGGTGATATCAACTCTCCGACTGTTGTCCTCTTCTCCACTTTGGCCCGCAGTAAAACCCAAGTAAGTAAACCAAATAGGCTTACAGTTATCTGTTCCTTTCACCGATGGTCAGATCAATTCATATGCCTCAGTGGGAGACCAGGAAGATACAGTAATGCTGTTCCTCTTAGTTGTTCTTTATCTTTAGGTAGGAATTAAAGATTAGTAGTAGTTACAGTTAAGAGAAAATGTGTTCTATGATTTTGCAAGTCATTTTTTGGGTGACATTCTTTGCTTCATCTGATAGATTGTTATTTTCTGTGTTCCTTATTTGTAAGAACCTATAAAAGTATTTGAATTTGGCAAGACATGTTAAGCAGCCAAACAAATGTTGACAGTGTATGAAAATAGTAAAAATGAATCGTTTCTTTCAAAAAGTTTTAGAAGAAAGCAAACTGAATATTTATATTAATGTATGAGGAGTTGAGATTGTTATAACTGAATCATAATTCTGAACACACTTGTATCAGAACACATGGGGCTAGATACAGGCAGAAGGCCTCTTGCTTTTTTGTTCTCTCACGTTAACATTAGTTCTCCCAAGGAATTTATGTTCTTATAGTAACCTGTGGAACAGACTGTTCTTAAGTTTTTATAATCCATAAATACACTTTTTTTTTTTTTTAAACTTACAACTCTTCATTTGAACATTCTGCTGGATTTGCATGTTGTATTGATTTTTCTCTCAGACTTTCTACCAAGTGCAAGTGTTGATTAAATTATTAGTGTTGGGAGTTTCTTGGTACATTCGTTAGGTTTTCAATAAAGGGAAATTCAGGTCGTATCCTTATTACTGAAGGTGATAGGTTCCTTTTAGCTTGAGTGACTTAGAATATCCAGAGAGATTCAGAAGATCTTTGATAAACACTGGCTGAATAATAATACAATTATGAGGGCCTATGATTTAAAAAAACAAACAAACAAAAATAAAAACCAAAAAAAACACCCCACATCTCAAAAACTTGATTTTTTTTTTTTTCTGCTAGTCATCAAATAAGATTCCAGTTACAATGTTTATTGATAAAAAGAAAAATGAAAATAAACTGCCCCCTTTTCTATGAAAACTTAAGAGAATTAGCTGTATGACTCATGTGGAGATATTACATATGTACCTTTACCTGATCCCCTAAGATACTTCCTTCCAAACTGTTTTTAGTATTGCTATCTTCTAAGCCACATCAGTAGCTGTTATTTTTAAAATGTTCATTTCCTTTCCTCTAAATATGAAATCTCTCCATATTCCATCTCTGGCTGAAGATGTAAGAAGTGACCTGCCTAATTTGAACCCTAACCCTTGCTCTCTGGTAGGAGGAATATATTGAAGTGCATATAAAGCAGTATCTGATACATAAGAACTACTGAAGTAGCTCATCTTTATGTAAATGTAACCTTGTCAGTACTGCTAAAGCCAGTGAAAAATATGTTAATTTACTGTCTGTAAGCTATTTCAGTGGCACACATTTTCAGGACTTTGTTAGCAGTTATTACAGGATGTAGGTCATCTCATTCATAAAAGTAGCAAAATCTATGCTTGCTCTTTTCCTTTTTTAAGAAAGTTTTTGATGTGATGCCCCAGGTGTGATGGACAGCACTCAGGGCTGCTCTGTTCTTCACAGTTATATCCTGTTGCTCTGAGGAGGGGGCAGGGGACTGGAGATAACATCTGCACCTGGGGAAGAGGTACTAGATAAGGACTGACTGCTGGTGAGAGCCCTGGGGCATGTAGGAGGACTAACATAGAAGGGGAGGCTTCTCTAGGCTTTAAGGCTTTGCCTTAGAGAGCATGGGAAGAACTGTCTAGAAACTTACTGGCTTAAATCTGAGTGGCTCCTGGAAAGAAGAATGTTCCCAAGGGTACACAGTCAGAAAAACAGCACTTCTTTTCTGCCATAATTTAAATCTATTTTCAGATTAAAATTTGGGCTTTCTCAAATTTCTGTCTGGCTTGATGCTAACCCTTGCAGCATGCTTAACTTAACATGCTGTCCCACTCCTGATGGCTTTTCAGCATGGATTTGTGTAGTGTTGTTGGAATTTCTCAGGAAGACTGAGGTCTTTAGACCTGTAGAGAATTGTAGAGGGCATATCAAAATACATAAATGCAGCTGTGGAGCAGAAATGAGTAAGACCTTTAAACTAAATTCCTTCCTGGTAGAGGTAGGTGATGACCCTTTTGATCATGGACCTTTCTCCTCTTAGCTGGGTAGGGCAGAGTGGTCCTATTGCTAGTTCTGTGTCACTGTTACTTCTGCTAAGTTACTGTTACTTCACATAACTAATGGGACTGCTTTCCCAGGTGTGAGATGCAAGGTATTAGCATACATATTTTTTGTAACAGTTAAACTAGATTTTCCTATCATGTCTTTTTTGGAGCATAGAAGAGCAAATCTAGTCATTATGATTCAATTTACAAGATAGCTTTTTAAATCATGTGCTTGAGCCTTTAGATTTCAGATCCCTGGAGGTAGAGAAAAAAATTGAGAGAAAACTTGAAGCAAATTGCACTATGATAACCATGCATAAGAAGGATGTGCCTGCCTTTAAATTCCTAGGAATGGATAGCCTGGTCATTGTAAGGCAGGATTGTTAAAGCATTAGAAATATATTTCTTATCCAATTTAGGCCCTTTTTGGAGGTCAAACATACTGGTTTCAGAATCTTGTAGAAATTGAGCTCATTAGGTCTGAGTAAGCCGAGTAACCGTTTATGACCTTGAAAGTTTTGCTATGAGTTTCTGAAATTGTATGCTCTTCTCGTTTCAAGAACTTGCTCCATCTCATGTAAATTTGATTATCAAAGTTCAAAGTCAGTGCTATATGTTTCCAAGGTACTCCTCCCGCGGATTTCTGCCTGAATAAAAAGGGGAAGGAGAGGTTCCTTATCTAATCATATTTAAAGCAGTCAACCTTGGAAGGGATAACCTTGAGTGCTTTCTGAAAGGAGATGACTTTTGATATGCAAGACAGTCTGAAACATGCTCTGTTTGAAACTGCTCCTCAGGCATTTCAGGAAAGGTAGTTGTTGTTGATTGATTTATTTTGTTCTTTTTTATTTGAAACAGGGAAATTAAAACTAATATTACAGATCTAGCTCATCTTGAAGCCAGCCTATATATTTATTCACTGAATGCTGGATTTTCTACTATCCAGTTGCTTCAGTGAGTACCAGTGATTTTGAGCCTCCTTTGTCGTGACAAAGCTTTTTCCTATATATATGCTCATTTCATCTCTTTCCTATATTATCGCTTGTTGTAAGATCTCAGAATGGTTTGAGTTGGAAGATATTTAATTCCAACTCTCTGCCTTAGGCAGGGACATTGTCCACTTGATCAGGTTGCCTGAAGCCCTATCCAACCTTGCTTTAAACACTTCCAGGATTACCTTTGTCCTAATCTGGTTTGAAACGTATTAAAATAGTACCAGTGTTGATACTATGTCTAAAATATCTTCTTGGGATAAGAGAGAGTAGTGCGGTTTCCTAACTGAGTTATAGTATTATTGTTCTTCATAATTTTTGAATATGATGAGACTATTTATGTTAATAGGCTTTTTGGGGGGAGGATGTAGATATTTAGTAGACATTTATGAGGTTCGCAATTCCCTCTGTAAATGGAATGCTCAGGTTAGGTCTTTATTCTAGTATATGCTTTTGGGAATTTCTCTTCTAGGAAGTGTTGTTTGTGTTTTTTTTTCTTGTACAATTATTTTTTGTATTTTTTTTTAGCAAGTCTGTATGGTAACAATTATAGAAAATATGCAATGTTACAGTACAGAAAGTGTGAATATAGAAATAAATAGATCACAAGTAACTATATACAATGTTTTTTATATATAAAAATTAACACTTTCCAATTTTGGTTATAGGAAAAATGAACAATCATATCTTATTGATCTTAACTCCATTTCCTGCACAAACTCGTCACTAAATTCTGGATCACTCATGTAGAACTCAGCCTATTATCTATATTATCCTGCCAATGTACTCAACATTTTCTGATCACATAGAAATTTTTCTTATTTACTCTTAACAGCATTAGGAATTAAACTGCATGTTCCATCAGTAGACATCTTTTCCCTTTTCCTCAAATTGTCAGCCATTGAATTTCTTTTTAAGTTTATATATACTAAGCATGTCTGCTGATACCTAGCAGTCTAGAGTTGTCTTGTCCAGAAACACTTCAGATATATGAAGCAAAACATTGTAATGCAGGGTTACTGAGCACTGTAAGCCAGTTCCTTCGGAGTGCCTCTCTGCTGTTCCTGAGCTTCTTTTGATGCCCAGTGCAGCTTAAACTGTGCTAGCTCTCTAGTGCTTAATTCTTCCTGTTTGAATCCCTGTAATCACACTTCTCATCACACTAGGAAAAGTAGCATTTAATTATGACTACCTTGAGAGTAATTAGGAATGGATCTTGGCCTTTTGTCTAGACAGAATTAGGCAATCAAAAAATGTTCTCATAGCAGTCAGGATTTTGCTTGTCTAAAGACAAAGTGCTTAGTTGGAAGATCATCTAACTGATTGCTTGCTATCAGTTTCTTAATCTGTCAGCAATGTTAGGCCATGGCTGATGGAACTGATGCTGTTTGCTACCTGGCAAAGCGCACAATCTTAGTGTAACAATTTCCAGTAACAGAGTGCTACTGTATTCCTTAAACCCATCCTGAATTACTGCTATAATGACACCTTGGATTAATTGGTAACTGGCATCTGTCAGAACAGCTCCTGGGTTATTGGACCATGTTGTCATACAAATCTTCCTGTCTCTACCCTTCACAGAATCACAGAATTGTAGGGGTTAGAAGGGACCTCTAGAGATCATGTAGCCCAACCCCCCCTGCAAAGAAGGCTCCCTAGACCAGGCTGAACAGGTGGCTGTCCAGGTGAGTCTTGAATATCTCCAGAGAAGGAGACTCCACAACCACTCTGGGCAGCCTGTTCCAGTGCTCCGTCACCCTGACTGTGAAGAAGTTCTTATGCTCATTGGTGCAGAACTTTCTATGCTTCAGCTTATGGTCATTTCCTCTTGTCCTATCTCCACACACTGCTGCAAAGAGTCTGGACTCATCATTTTGCCTCCCACACCATAGATATTTATAGACATTGATCAGATCTCCTCTCTATCTTCTTTTCTCAATGCTGAACAGACCCAGGTTGCTCAGCCTTTCCTTTGAATAATCTAATTCACAAGCAACCTGAGGATAAAGTTAAAATTGCATGTGCAACGAATGCAGCTTTTATTTATTTGTCTTTTAAACAGACTTCTAAGTTTTCATCTATGGAGAAGCTGGATAATGTTCTGACTTTGTTACTGGAAAACAAGATAGTTAGTTGTGAATTCAGCGCATGCCAAGGTGAAGAGCAGCACCATCAGCAACCTAGTGAGTCCCTTCCTTTTCACATTGATTTTTGTTACTGCTGCAATGGTTATTACTTATAAATGTTAATAAGACAATCTTTAAATATTTAAGACTGCTGGTGAAGTGCAAAAATCCACGATAAAGACAACATAAGCAAGGCAGAAATGGGAAAAAAAAGAATTTTGTAAACCCTTACTTCTTGAGTCAGTACTTACGTAATTAGACTTGTCTGGTTGTTTGATCAGCTTTGAATTAAATTCACATTAACAGCTTTTCAGATTAGTAAACTTATACTCACAGAGAAAATAGGCAACAAGAGACATGATGAGGTGGCTATACATTGTGTATGTATTTTTCTTCTTAATTTCTCTTTTGCAGTACTCAAACTTGGCACTCTTATTTCAAACTAACAGAGAAAATCAATTTTTTTTATTATTATTATTATTTGAAGAGAATGGGTTGCTTTTGAACTTAAAAGACCGTTAGGCGTCGACACTGATTTTAGTAACTGTGTAGCTTTAGTAACTTATTGGTTACCAGTACTTTATTCTGGCCAAAAGCTAATTATATTGTTGAAGTATATGTATAGTGAATTAAAGTTGGATTTGTCGCTGAAGTAAATGCATTGTATGTACAATTCAGTAGTGTACCAACAGGAACTGCTGCTTATTGGAGGGCTTGGTTGAATTAATTAACCTCTTATTAAGGATTCAAATTCTATTACAGTAAACCAAGAAGTTGATTATTTAGTTTGTGTTTTGAAAAGCATCATTATGATGTTATTTTTTTTTTTAAGAAACTGCAAGTTTCCTTTCTGAAATAGTTAAGAAGTATTTGAGTTGTTGCCTGACTTGTGTTTTGTGTAACCAGACTATGAGTTTGAGAGAAAAAATAAACTCAGTGTATTGAATGTAGAGCATAATAATTTTCATAACCAAATATAACAAATTTTTGTGGTAATCTCTGCTGTGACCACTGTCGTGCTTTCTCTCATTTTTAAGTTTTTTCTGATGATGAATGTCACCCCTCTGTAGTAGATAAACATGATTTTTCTCCTTTTGCATTCTAAAAATGAGCTTAAATGTCAATCTGAACTGGAAGAAGCAAACAATTAGGGTGTGAAATGAAGTATTTACCCTTGCTGCAATTCTGTGTGTAACTGCAGTACAGAGGTGTATAGGATGTATTACAGCATAATTCTAAATGTGAGATGTTCATTCTGTTGGGAATAAAAAGAATTTCTGCTTCTTTGGGAACTCTTTAGATCTAGGCATACTTATGAATATTGAAAATAATATTTATCAACCTGTAATCCTTTGCCTAAAAGTCAATGCATTTCAAGAACAAGCTTGTGAGCTTGGCTAGATTCTGACCAGTGATCTTTGAAAGACTGAACAAGGTAAAAATGGGGAGTCATACTGTTCTTGGTTTTTTGTTTTGTTTTGTTTGTTTTTGCAAACCAGTATTTCAGATGATTGTCACTGGTATATTTTTCCATGGATACGATCAGTTTCAGTTACTTGTTTTAGATAAAACATCCTATTATAATAGTTGCTGTAGTCATCAAAAAGTAAATCAGGTACCAGCAAAATATTGTTGGAACTGCTCTATCTGTAAAAGCTTGTCAGAGATAGAATGCACGTTTCAGATTTATACTGTTCCCTTTTTAGTTTTTTTATTGTTTTTTCTTATTACTAGCATTCCTTTATTTAAGATAAAGACTTTTTTTCAGTTCATCAAGGAGAAGAATGTTTAAACAAGTGATATTTGAAGGCATGATCTCTGAAGGAGAATATTGGAACCTGGTCAGCTGAGAAAGCTGATAGACTGAGCAGAAGCCTGTGGAAAAACATTGTGGTTAACATTACAATATTAACCAAAAAGAGATCTAAGATCATGTCTGGCTTTTTTGTGATGGTAATGAGATGCCTTCTCCTCCATCTTTTATGGAAGCATGTAACTAAAGCTGGAGATACTGTCCTGAAAGTTGTATAATCTGTACAAATCTGCTTTCAGGATACCTCATGTGTGTATTATTCCTCTGTAGTCTGGTAAAAGACTCCAGTCAGAACACGGTAACTAATCCAAACTGGTATTTCAGTACTCTTTCTGAGTTGGGGAAGTTCTAAATCTAATCTTCAATTTTCAGACTTATGAATTCTTGATGTGTTCATTTCTGAGGTCAAAGAAAAAACAGCTTACCTGAGGAAAACCTATCTTTTTTTCCTCTCTCAGTGAACTGTTGTCTGTTAACATCACTCTAGTTAAACTCATATGTTGAGGCCTCTTTAAAATTGTGATTTACTTATTTTATAGAAAATACTGCTTTTTGTCACCTAACGCTACAGGCAACATACGTTTTATCCTGATTTCTCTGATTCTTTCTTTCAAGCTGAATGATCAGTCTCAAAAGAATGAATTCAGGTTTCTAGCTGCTAATGAAACAAGGTCAAAAGACAGGCAGGTGAGAGGAAACAAAGTGCTCTAAGTGTTTCCTTGATCTAATTGACATTGACACTATAGAAATCATTTTAAATGTGTATTTAAATTGCTAGTAGAAGTAACTTCCTGTATCAGTAACTTCAGAAATAAAAGAAGTATGTCTTAAAAGTCTGCAGAAGTATAACTGCAGGCTGTTCTGTTTGCTTACTGCAATGTTACGAAAATTCCCACAGGCTAAGACAGTGCTACAATAAAGTAATATTAGATTTTGTGCTCTGTTTTATAGCTGAGGTGTTCCAGAATGCTCTATAGAGGAGAGAAGGGATTATGACAGAACAAAACTGCAACTCCCATTTAACCTTGTGTGTGCCAGCTAAAGCATTTAAGAGCAAGCACTTATGAAAGCAAAACTTTCAGTTAGGTGAGGAAGTTACCTTAATGAACTTTAAAAAAAAAAAAAAAAAAAAAAAAAGCCACGTGGTCACTGTCTCTGTTCCTGCTTATGGAATCATTAAGGTTGGAAAAGATCACTAAGATCTTCTTGTTCAGCTGTTGGTGCATCACCACCATCATCAGCTTTTGAGTTCTCAGTGTAGCTGCCTACCAATCGCAGCTTTTCTTCATTAATATTTTTCTGTAAAATAAGCTAAAAGCGGTGAACTTCTGTTTATCCCCAGTGACTACTTCTTTTGTTCTGTTGTGTATTTTTTTAACTTAAATATATTGGTTGTTCAATTTCACAACTGATAGAAGTTCTGGTAATTTTCCCAAATTCACTGTGACAAAGTTGCAAGCTCATGAATGCTTTCCCGCCTTAAGCATGTGTGCATTCAATGAATTCTGGTATTGCTACTATGCATAATGCACCGTTTCAGTTACAAGAGTTAAACCCAGCAAGATAGAAATTTCTATGCAGTACAACATCTGATTTGTCATAGGAGCACATTAAGCTCTGAATTGGCAATTTAGAAAACAATTATTATTTTAAAAATGAATTAGATCATTCAGTGTGTTGTTCTTAATTGTTTGTTTTTATAATGGTAGTTGTAGTTGTCAGTGACTTTGCTATAATTTGTGAAAAAGAGATCCCTTCTTCACCTTTATCTGGTGACTTAGGAGGCATTTAAACAGCCACTTTTGACACTTTTCAGAATAAGAGCAAAAAGAAAGACCAGTAGGTTTCAATAATCTCTTTTGAGGTCATTAACTTTACTATTTTTAAGTTAAATGTGTTGCTAGGGGAGGAATTTCTGGGAGATCAGGTCCAAAAATGTCTCTGACCCACTGCAAGAATGTCAAAGGCATTAACTTACGCAGAATGACTACTGGTACTGCAGCTGCACGCAGAAATGGGTGTTAAAGTATTATGGAGGTAGGTGAAGGGAACAGCAGACTGGGCAACTATATGTATAACATTTATCAGTAGAGCAACCATATTCAGATGGCCTCAAATACTCAACAGTTTGAAGGCATCTATCACTTAGACTTGGAAAACTTTGGCCCATGCCAAACTTTGGCATCCTTCTTAAAATGCCAGAAACTGCTAGGTGAGCTGCTTAAAATGGCTTAGCACAGCAGAGTGTTAAAAACTGTTTTAAATGGGTAAACTCATTAACATCATGTGGTGGTTGTCACAATAACTTGTGACAAGTCAGGGGCTTCCTAATCCCAGCTGGTGATCTATTTATCTTAAATAAATAAAATAAAAAATAAAAATCACTCTAGTCTTCAAAAAGGGCAAGGAGGACCCAGGGAACTGTAAGCCAGCCAGCTCTATACCTGAAAATGTGCTGTATAATGTAAAATGTGATGTATAATGTGAAATGCGCTGTATAATCTGCATGTCTCATAAGGACTGGGATATAAGGGAAAACTCAAGAAAAATAACTGAAAGAGAAACTAAATAAATTATTTGTATCAGTGTTTGCTCTAAATGAAATTGTGTAGATTTCGGAATTATAGTGCTGACTGGGAGACAAGAAGAAAGGGGCTTCAGTTAAAAGAATCATAAACCAATAGCAAAAATTGGCAGGACTAGAAATTAGCAGGACTAACTTGTATTCAGTCAGTGTTCTGAGGGAACTGAAGAATGAAATAGCGGGATTTCTAACAGCAGCATGCAGTTTTTCAGTTTTGAAGTACTAAAAGTTGTGTGATGCCAAAACCTAGTTTTGCTAGGAACTTGACTAGGCAATTAATATAAACTGTAATAAAATAGAAATTCTGTGACACTTGAATTGCATAATTTTTCATGTTTATAATATTGATAATTAAAATAATTTCCTGCTATTCTTTTTGATTCTGCAAACATAATCAATTTGGTCATTGGTTGAGTATGGCTGAATAACTGTCCAAAAACCCAGAGGCAGATGACATGAAAAAAACTTAACCTAATAGTGCAAAGTATTCAGAGTAGTAAGGATTAGGGCTGCTTGGGGAGTAGTGAGGAAAGGCCTTGTGAGATTTAATAACTGTGCCGTAAGATGACAGATGGTATTCAGCATAGGTAAAAATGAAGTGATGCAAGAATCCTATGTTGTCATAGAAAAAGAGAGGCTATGAGCAAGCTAGTAGCACTCAGGAGAGAGACATGCAATTCCATGATAAAGTCAACTGGTTGCTAGGTAGCAGATCAAAAAGCAAATGAAATTAGGAATTATTAGAAAGGGAATAGAGAACAAAATATAATTATGACAGTGCCTAAATTCATAGTTCACCCATAAGTTGAGTATCATGTGCATTTCTTCTCCTGTCATCTCGAAATAGTTATATTAAAGCTGGAAAAGGTTCAGAAAAGAGTAGTGAGGGTGATGGAATTGATTCTCTGTAGGGCACAGCTAAGTACACTGGATCTCTTCAAGAAAGAAGTTCTGGGAATAAGTCATGGAAAGTGGAGAGAGGACAGAGAGGAGGAGTATAAAATGAATTAGGGACTAGCAATAGAATCTAGCAGTGATCCTATTGAAAACAGAATATGCACTTCACACCAACAAACCACAGCGGGACAAGCAGCAGGTGATTAGAAAGTATAGTATGAAGGTAGAGGGAAATACTATTTATGCTTAGTCTCTCATTTGTAACTTGTGGCTTCTCTTAGTTTTAATACATGACCAAGTGTTGAAATTATAAAATTAGTTCTGTTTTGTTTTGTCCTGGTTTTCAAAGATGAAACGGAACGTGATGAAAATGAATATTCATGCTATTTCAGATACATTCTGAAAACTTTTGTCTGATGCATCCATCTGTTAATACTCTGACTTTTTCATTGTTGTTGAGCAAATTTTTTTCAAGTCTCTGCTAGTCATGACAATTTTCAGAAGTGAACTGTGATATGAAAACATAGGAACACTTTTGTAGGTCTACAGCGCTTTCAGATTTCTCAGATGGAAAAATGTTTCTAAAGCATTAGATAATACACAACTTTGTAAAACTGTGTCATGGCTATAGGATTTTTTCCCCTTGCAAGGAAATTTGTTTCTTAGTAGACTGAACTCCCTCTTTTTTTTTTTAAAGTGAGAGGGATCTCTTAATTATGCTTAATTATCCTTTATTAAGATATGCATGTGATTTGTATGTCTGTTTAGGCTGAATAGGTGGGCTGAAGCCAATTGTATGAGCTTGAACAAGACCAAATGCCAAGTCCTGCATTTCAGTTACAAAAACCCCACGCATCACTGCAAGCTTGGGGTGGAGTAGCTGGCAAGCTGCAGGGAGGAAAAGGATCTAGGGGAGATTAGGGTTGGATATTTGGAAAAATTTCTTCTCAGTGGCGAGTTATTAGAACAGGCTGCCCAGGGAGGGAACAGAGCCACTATCACTGGAGGGTCTCAAGAAAAAGGTAGATGATGCACTGAGTGACTTGAGCGATGGTTGGAGATTGGACTAGGTGATCTTAGTGGTCTTTCCAACCTTTTTTTTTTTTTTTTTTTTTTTTTTTTTACAAATCATAGAATCATGAGGTAAATACAATATAATATACACAATGTAAATACAATAAATATATATATGATATATATATTATATATATATAATATGTGTAATATATGAATTTTTTAATATATATATATAAGTTTCATTTTTAGTAATTGTTCTTTTGGTGCTTGTTCTGTGCTGGCAGTTTGAGAAACTGTTATTCAGTAGCACTAATATTCTAAAGACTTTCTGTAATGGAAGCTGATAGGTGTTTTATAAGAGCAAAACTGTTTTTATTAAAGATTTGTTTTTTTATACAGATAGCCATTTGGAAGAATTTCCCACTCTCCTTCACTGTGCAGCCAGATTTGGATTAAAGAACCTCACAGCAGTTCTGCTCAAGCATCCTGAGGCCACAAGGGCTTGTAAAATAACCAATATAGATGGAGATGTTCCAGCAAGTATAGCTGAGAAACATGGACACAAGAAAATAAGAGAATTAATCAAAGAATTGTCGGTAGGTTCATGTGCTTTTTCTTTTGCTATCCATAGCCAGATAACAATGAAGTTTCCATTACTGAAATTGCCTAATACTTCTTTTGTAAAGCCTTGCACGTTGTTGTCCTCCTACTGTAAAATACTATATTCTTTCTGCCTCAGGAAGAGGGATCAAGATTGGGTACAGCCACTTTTTCTGCACTGTTGTAATGAAGAGTTTCTATGCTGCTTGAATTTTAGGCGCTAAATGGAAGGAGAACAGTAGATCAGCAGATCAGAAGTACCTGATGTGGCCTGAAAGCATAGTTAGGTCTTTGTTTCCAGCACCATGTGATTGTTATATTGTGAATAGCCTAGCCCAATCATGTAGATTAGTAAAATACAGATATCTACTTCAAAATAACTTTCTACTTTCAGAATCTTCTCTTCAAAGTCTGTTGCGACCATTTGCCTTTGAACATGGAGTGATTAAGCCAGAAGTTTTAGTTGTCTATTAGCCAGTCATCTTGGATAGACATAGAACTAAAGATGAATTTGAAGAAATATACAATAATAGATGTGTAGATTATATAGGGGAGAATTTCTAACACACCTGGTGAGGAAAGTGCAAGAAACCTTTAAGTGAGTTAAGCTAGAAAAAGATATAGTAAAGAATGGAAACACTGGCTGACTGAGATTAACTATTATATCTGTAGAACAAGGACATGGGAATTGATCAAGTTTTGTTTGTTTGTTTTTAACTTGATGCAGTTGTCATCTAATGTAAAGGTAAAAGAGAAACACTGCAGAAAAGTTTTCTGTAGTCAGTGTTGAACTGTGAAGGTGACTTTAGCAGTGTATTATGATCTGATCCTCTTAAAATTGGTTCAAGGGGAAGAAAATTGCAGCCTGTAGTGCCTGAGAGTAAGACATTTGGCAATGGCCAAGGTGCTGAATGAGAATGTGCTGTTTCCCCTTTTGTTGTTATTAAACATCTGTTGATACAGACTTTTAAATAAAACTGGGGGAGGGAAAATATCTTCTAAGCAGGAAGTTCATACCTGATGGAGAATGTGATGTGGCCTCTTCTCTGAGGTGACGGGGTGTATTTCATTACATTTAGTGATACAGAGGTGATGCCTTTATCTCAGGTTTTGATGCAATATTTAAGATCAAAATTAACTGAAGAATATTGGTCCTCATTACCATCTGGCATAAAGCTGTCCATGAAGCCATACAAAGGTTGTTTTCCTGGATTAAAGTGTTAGTGAAACTCTACTGCTGTTATAAGAATGTGTAGTCTGGGTAGGATATGTGGTATACTTCACGTTTTTATCTGATTCGAATACCATGGCTCGCTAATGCAACCAAGTAAAAACTGGAGCATGCTTCAAGTCTGCTAAATGTGTAATGTGGCATTTTAGAAATGTTAGCTCCAACCTCAGAAGAAAAGTGGGTTATTTGTGTCCCCTGTAATAGTGCACTTAAGAACAAAAACACTTACTGTACTTCTGTAATTGATGGGAATGTGGAGAAGAAATACTTGCACGGCTCTGAGCCAAGCAAATTTTAGTTTAATCATAATCTAGGGACTTCCTGTTACAGTTGCAGTATAGAAATTGCTCATTATTACAACAGAAGTACCTTTGTACTTTGCATACCTCTCACTGTTTTAAAATTGTTACCTGTGTTATGCCATTCCTTTTAAGAATAGTTGCAAGATATTCACAATAATTCATTACTTCTATCTCAAAGAGCAATAGGGTTCCAGAAAAACGAATGTATTAAATATATGTTCAGTTTGTCTAAAAACCTGAGAAGTGCCTTTCATTTGCCTTTGGAGGAGTCAGAATTTCTTGAGATGCATGGTTAGAGAGAGAAGGCAGGAAAAGGCGAAGGGGCTCCTATTTATACCTTCAAATCCAGAGCTTTATCAGGCTGGCCTCTTTGGTGTATGCTCAACACACCTGTGTTTGGAGCTTTCTGGTGATGGAGCTTTGCTTGTTACACCCTTCATGCCTAGCAGGTGTATTGCAAAGGTGCTGATGGTTCTGTTGGCCGAGGAGACTTGTAGGACCTAACTTGCATGCTTATTTGTCTGTGGTACAAGTTCCCTGTGTTCGTTTAAAAATCTCTTTTCTGGAGATGGATGCTGACAATGCTGTGGGGAGTATTACAATCACAGCAAGCAGATCTGGCATGATCAGCTGGCATGCTAAAAGCTGATCTTCTGGTGTAAGCACAAAGCACAAGGGAGGGATCACATAGTGCATGTAGCATGCTTCTGTTGATATAGCTGCGTGAGAGAGTCAGGAAGAGATTTTCCTCTTCTAGAAAAGTGTTAGATTCAGGAACGTTTGATGCTGAAACATCGCACCATTTAATAGCCTGTATAAATGGTGCTCCCCAAAGCAGTAGTGTCTGCCTTGTCTCTTGGAATTCTGCTTTTCAAAAGCTCCTTGAAAATGTCTCCCATGCATCAAGGGAACATTGCATGAATCAGTCCATTTGTGTTAAAGGTACTAAGTTGATAGAGCAGTCTCTACAAGAGAATCTGCTTCATGGGGATTGTGATAAGGCTCTGTCTCAAATATATAAGTAATTTGTTAAACAAACCATATTTTTCTTGTATTTTAGTGCAAAACTACTTAAATGGGCACTCATTTCCAATACTAACACGTGTTTCATTTGAGCTTCAATTAAGTTCAGTTACTTCTTCTGTGGCATAAAACAGGAATACTGCTTAACGTTCTGTGATAATGTTCTGAATTGTCACTTTGTCTTGTGATATCATTCCTCTGTAGAACCAAGGGCTTGAATGTTTTCTATTATTGCTTTTAGCTTGAACTGTTTGAATCAAGTGTGTGAATTTAAAACTAGTAAGAGGAGTAAGTAACTAGAAATACTGACAGGAGTCCCTGTCTCAGAATCTGAAGAGGAGAAAAGATGAACCTTTTAAGCCATTGCTTCAGCTAACAGCTCAAGTTTCTCTAAAAATGGCTTGGTCATTTTGATGCTTGCTTGCCTACATAAAAGTTCTGTTTACAGAAAATATAGAAAAGAAATTCTTATCCAGAACACAAAGGAAAACTTCAAAGAGTACATGAGAGCAAATTTTTGAGCATTAGGTGACTAATAAGGGAAGTATATACAATCTGTGACCTGACTATTTAGAACTGGAGGTTGTACTGATAGCCACTCTAGGCATGTAAGGTTTGGAGTGGACATCATTCTTTATTCTGGCACATGGGGATGCTAATTTCTCCTTTCCTTTATTGTGCTACTGACTGGGTCATTCAGGAAGATTACTGTGTGCCACTTGTAGCATGTCACCATTTCTAAGAAAAACACAATTCAGAAAGTGGTTTATTGGATGCTAATGCAGATAATTTCTGATTGTTGGCTATGGCCTTTAAAGAAGTTTCCTAGTGGTAAAATAAATGTCATTTAATATAAAAATTGTAATAATTGTTTCGTGTTGCACTATGCAGTCAAGACAGCACAACTTGAATTTGATTTTTAATATATCTTTTGGCATTTCTGGAATTGGCTGTTTAAAATTTGAGGCAGAAAATAGAGATTTGCTTTTTTAATCAAGACCTGTGGCCAACCCTGTGACAATGCATATCAGAACAGTGGGTGGGTGGAAACATTCCCTCTGCTACCACCAAAACCTTGTCTGAATTTCCTAATATTTTTCTGTCTGCCTGCTTCAGGTGTCTCTCTTAGGCAGCTACTGAAAAAATAATAAATATTTAATCCTGCACATTTTAATGAAATTTCTGTGGATTCGGGTAGACTGGAACAAGTTAGGCCTTTTGGTGAGAAGTCCGTTTTCTTATCCAGAAGAGAGAGTCGCATTAAATCTTTTTTAGCTGTTGAAGGACTTTCTGCAAAGTCTAGCTTTGTAGTTATTGGGTTTTCTGTTTTCAGCAGTTCTCTCTGTAAGACAGAAGAGGATAATCGTACAAGGAGCATAATTTTCATTCAGAGCTTATTTAGTGGAAGACATGTTAGATAAATGTTGGGGATGAAATTGTTTCTGCAATAGCAAGCTGTATTTTTACAAATATTTGGGATCTTAAAGGATGGGTAACTCTGTAGGCTGACATAATTCATCATTGTATGCTTCTCTCCTCATATCCATGTCTTATTTTGAAGTCATTGTTGAATCAGCATCCAGAATTTCTTCAATTTTTTTTTAAATAGGAAATAATCTACAAAAAACCAACGTACTGTGGAATTTGAGGGCTTTTTCTTTTTCTTTTGCTTTTTATGCAAAACGAATATATCCTGGCTTTTTAGCTACCATCTTCAAAGGCCAGTGAATCTTTAGATGGTAGGAATCCATTTAGCAAGAGTTCACATGGTTTGATAGAGAGTTCTAGAAGCTCATGAAATATAATTTTTTTCAAATACAAATTGTGTTGTGTGGTGTGTGTTGTGTGTGTTGTGTTATATGTGTATTATTCTTACAGCAGTGTTTGGCTTTCTCTTTTTTATAAAAGGCTGTATGAAAAGGTAGAGCTCCCTACCATGAAAATATTAAGTGTTCAAATCTGATTGCAGTCTCTTCCTAAGCTATTAATTTTCTGCTGGATAAGGACCACGTGTAGCAAGATGATGTTATATACATATTAAATAAACTTAAATGAAATTAACTTGATTGCTCTCAATATTTGCTTAATTCCTTTAAATACTACTGTAGTGTTGCACTTGTCCCATTGCTTGTTGCTCTTAGGTAGCTGGGAGAATTTTTTGAGAGAGAAGTTTAATCTGGTTTTTAAAATTTGAGCTAATCCACTAGTGATTCCTCCAGAAGGGCTGCTGGGATAATATTCTTTCAGCAGTATTTTAGTGCTTAGAAATGTTGGCTGTATGCATCCTTTAGTATGCTGGAAGTTACTTAACTGAATTGAAGAGCTGAACACTGTTCTCTTTTTTGTACTTATTGGTGAGTAGAATTCACAAACCCTTGGCAATGAAATCAAATTCCTAGGCTTCTTGAGGAATCTGAGCAGAAAAACCTGTGAACTTTGG